CAGCAACATCTGTTGGCACTATAGTGTTAACTACCGAGTCTACTTTCTCTGGAAGCGGCGAGATACCTTGTGCAGTGACTTATGCCCTAGGAAAGAAAGTTCTGGAACGTCGAAGAGGCATTTGTCGTTCAATTTCAGGCCTGCGTACTTGACTTTCTGCAAGACCTTTGTTAGGTGCAAAAGATGTTCTTCTGCACTTTTCCCAAAGACTATCACGTTATCAATGTAGAACAACATACCAGGGCAGCCATCCAGAATTGTGGCCATCATCTTCTGAAATGCCGCTGGGGCAGAAGCTAACCCAAAGCAAACTCTCTTGAACCGAAAGAGTCCTTCATGCATGATGAAGGCTGTCAGGTCCCTGCTGTCAGGGTGCAAAAGAACCTGATGGTAGGCAGAAGCCAAGTCAAGTTTTGAGAAGTGTGTCGCACCTACCAAGGCATGAAGGAGTTCCTCTGTATGAGGCAACGGGAAGCTGTCTGGTACAATAGCCTTGTTAGGCTCCCGGAGGTCAACATAAATTCTGATGGTGCCGTCTTTTTTGTCAACGACAACAATGGGCGAAACCCATTCAGAAGCATCGATGCGTTCGATGATGTCAAGGCGCAGCAACCTGTGAAGTTCATTTGACACTGGTTCCCGAAGTGAATATGGAAGAGGGCGCAGCTTCGAAGATACCGGCTGCACACCTTGCCGAATCTTTACACGATGCGTGAACCGCTTAGCAAGACCCAACTCGGGACTGAAAAGTGAACCGAAGTCGTGTTCCAAGGCTGGCGGAAGGTTTGCTTGCCTGGGTTGCTCTATTGACTGCATCGGAATGTGACAAAGTGTCGAGTCAACACGCGGAGGCGGGGCAACGAACGTGTGTAGGCACTCAAGAGTGGAGCCCTGTATTCGAAGATTTAGGGCCTTAATGCTGTCAAGGCCAATCAGACAAGTTCCTTGGCGAACGATGAAGAAAAGAAGTGGTGCAGAGCACCATTTAAACTGAACGTCTGCCTGGAAACAGCCTAGCACAGAAATTGGGCGCTTCGAATAGTCAAACAAAGTGACATGCAGAGCTCGGAGGAGCAAACCGCTTTGAAAATGTTGGTGAAATTCTTTCTCTGATAGAATTGAAACAGACAACCTTGAGTCAACAAGGAATGACAACTTGACATCCGCTACACGTATGTAAATTGCGCTGCGAGCGGGATGCTGCACAGTCAAAACTTGCTCAGGACTTCCCCCTGACAAAGCATCGTCATCGATGCCAAGTTCACGAATCCTGCCTTGTATTTTCTGCATACTTTCTGAAAGTGTCCTTTGATACCGCAAAACAAACCCTTCTTTCCCTGCGCAGGGCACTGTGACGCTGATGCGCGGTGATTCCGTGAGCCGCATCGGAAACAGTGTGGTGAAACGGACCGGCTATCTCTGTCTCGCCGACGGCGCACGCGAACCGCTAGCGCTTGGAGAGTTTTTGCTGAAAATGCGCTTTTGGCTGGAAATTGAATTTTCGCGAAGAATGCGAATACTGGGAACGACGCCGTACAGAAACAGGCTCGACCGAAGCAGAAAATTTCTTCAGCTCTCCAGCTGCTTGCTCAAACTGAAGAGCGATCCGCACTGCGCTCTCGAACGAAAGGGAGGAACCCTGATTGATTGATATGTGGGGTTTAACGTCCCAAAACCACTAAATGATTATGAGAGACGCCGTAGTGGAGGGTTCCGTAAATTTAGACCACCTGGGGTTCTTTAACGTGCACCCAAATCTGAACACACGGGCCTACAACATTTCCGCCTCCATCGGAAATGCAGCCGCCGCAGCCGGGATTTGAACCCGCGACCTGCGGGTCAGCAGCCGAGTACCTTAGCCACTAGACCACCGCAACGGGGCGAAAGGAAGGAACCCTCGAGCAGCAACCGTTCACGTACGCGGTTAGAAACAACGCCGGCAACAAATCAGTCCCGCAGAGCATCATCTTGTGAAGCGAACGAACAATGCGAAACGAGCTCCTGTAAAGCAGCAACAAAGTCATGAACGGACTCGCCTGTGTGTTGGCTGCGGCGGTGGAAACGATGACGCTAGACGACGACGTTACACGACGTGAAAAACTGCTGCCGTAAGGCGATGAGTGCAGCCTCGTACTCGTCAGTAGCGGCTGTGGGAGGCTTCTCTTGTACTTCCGGTGCTGCGGCGCTTGCTGGTGCTGCGGCATTTGACCCTGCAGGTAAAGTCCGGTAAACACGCTGCCCTTCCGCCCCCAAACAATGCAGAAGAATGGCCTTGCGTCGCGCTGGTGGGAACTCAGCTGCTCCGGACGCTAGAAGGTAGACTGTTAAAGTCTGCGCCCACTCCTCCCATGGAAGTGACGGCCGGCCGGGCGTCGGGAGGAACGGCGGCGACGGAGCAAGGCCGGAAAAACTCATGGCAGGGCGGACCCGGACGACACTCGATGCTGAAGGTAGCTTGACGTGTTTATCCCATCCTCGTCGCCAATGTGGTGTTTGCGAAAGACGTAAGAAGCACCGGCAGCACCACCATACAAAAAGACGTTTATTGTACGCAACACATCGAATATATACATAAAGGACATACGCGCCCCCTGGGGGTGAAAGAACACAAAGTAAAAACCGAAACTGAATATAACACACGGCAGTGCAAATTGCACTGTCGTGCATTATGTATACCATGTGCTTCTGTTTGACCACTGTGAAACTGCCCAGTGTATGAGGTGGCCAGACCTCTGTGAAACTGCCCAGTGTATGAGGTGGCCAGGTTCCCCTTAAGCTGCTCAATGCAGCTTTTTTGCCTGGTCATCCTCACAACGGTTTTGTAAATAAACTGAATTCAGTTTAATACTGAGCTTAATGCAATACAGTCTGGTCTAGCAGCACTAGTAAAAAACTTCATGAGTGCATTATGGGTCAGTCTCGTTTGTTCGGCAGGGTGGCGCCAAACTACTACTTCAACTGCAAGGCACACGTCTACACTTCGATGACCACTCGAAACTACAGTGGTACCTTAAATATGGCTCACAAGCATGTTTATTTTTCATTTTCTCCAAAACATCGCAGAACAACGTCTTGGCACATGCTCGGTGCAAATTATGTGGTGCTTGCAGAATATGCAGCGAGATGTAACAGGGTTGCACCTTGGTGCGACTGGCGCAGCTACCACATCACTTCAATTCCCAACCAAGTATCTCCCAAAGCGCCTACATGCGCTCTGTTAAAACAAAGTGAGTGGAATTCTTCCTATGTATTTTTTATTTTATTTATTTATTGGTACTGCAATCCCCTGGAGGGATTTTAGCAGGTGGGTACAAAAGACGTAAACATCAGCATATAACACCATGCAAACAGATAAAACAGCCTATCACATTTCACATAGTAGGCAGCCATATAACACAAAGCAAACAAATAACTATCACTTGCATTTTACAACGTAAACAAACGTAACAAAATTTTATTGATGACACATCACTCTCACTTTAAGAAAAGAAAACAGAACTAGCACACAAGTAAAATTATTTTCTCTGTTGTTCCAGACCAGCGGCAAAGGATGTTAAAGACTGTGTTGTGACTTGATGGTTATTTAAACTATTCCAATCCTGCATAGTTCTGGGGAAAAAAGAATATTTGAAGCAGTTATTGCGGGTACGAAAGGGAGTTATTGTACGATCATGGCATTGTCTGGTGGCGTAACCTGAAGAAAATGAAATAATTTTTCCAATATCTATCTTGTATTGCCCATTAATTATTTGATATAAATATTTTAATCTGGATATGCGGCTTCTTTCTGAAAGTGAAAGTAAGTTAGCTCTTACTAACAGTTCATTTACCGAGGTTCGTCCATAACTGTTATATATGAAGCGAACGGCTCTTCTTTGTACTTTTTCGACTTTATGAAAGTTAGTTTGAGTAAATGGATCCCAGATCACTGCAGCATAATCAAGTATGGGGAGGACTATCGATTTGTAAGCAAGAACACGGACAGATGGAGGGGTGAGTTTCAAAGTCCTTCGTAAAAAGAACAATTTCTGATTAGCCTTGGAAGTTACTATGTCAATGTGTTTTGTCCAGTCAAGATCATTTGTTATCCATAACCCAAGATACTTGTAGGATTGAACCTTAGAAAGAATGGCATTGTTTGTAAAGTATTGAAAATTTAATTTGTTTTTCTTATGAGAAATGGACATGTACACTGTTTTTTCAAAATTGATGGACATTTGCCAAGCCTCGCACCAGGAAACAACCCTGTTAAACGACTCGTTTAATAAACTTGGTCCTTTGAGGATTCTATTTCAGAATAAATAACGCAATCGTTCGCATAGAGCCTTATATTTACAGGTATACCGTTTATTATGTCGTTAATATATAAAATAAACAGAAGGGGACCCAGAACCGACCCTTGGGAGACGCCAGAGTCAACGGAAACTCTGTGAGAGGAATGATTGTTAAAATCTACAAACTGTTCTCTGTTTTTCAAGTAGGCCGATATTCATTTAATAAGTTGATCATTCCCGAGAATTTTTTCTAATTTGTATTCTAATTTATTGTGCGAAACCTTGTCAAAAGCTTTTGAAAAATCCATAAAAATTGCATCTGTTTGTTTTCATTATTAATTGAAGTAGCGAAGTCGTGTATTGTTGATACCAATTGTGTCGTTGTTGAAAATCCCTTCCTGAATCCATGCTGATGTTGGTTTAAGATACTATGTTCGTCCAGAAAACATGAAATACTATTGTGTATAATGTGTTCCAAAAGCTTACAAACAGTTGAAGTTAGCGAGATGGGGCGATAATTTTTTACACCCTGCTTGTTGCCCGATTTATGGATAGGCTTAACTCTAGCTGTTTTCCAGTCGTCTTGAACCTGGCCCTCATGCAGCGATTTTGTAAAAAGAACATGGAGGTATTTCGACATCCATTCAGCATATCTCTTTAAGAAAGCATTACAGAATGTATATGCGGAAGAATAAAAAAAATATACAAAAAAACAAGAGCACTCACTCAATGCCCAGGTCAACTTCTGGGATTCCTGAAAGCATTTGATTGGACAGCATCTCCTCAGACTTCTTGGATGTTGACTTGCGCAGGTGCTCAGGCACATGGAACAGCACATCCTCCTCATCCACGGTATTCCTGCATGTCATTCAATTGATTATTTATATATTAAGGTTACCCTCAGAGCCATTAGAAAGGGACTGAAATAAAAATGTACAAATGTTAGTTATTCATTTATAGAACATTTATAGAATGCCAGATAAAGTTAGCAGAAAAGCTGGTTACGAGAATTAGAAATGTCCTGCGGAAAGTGGTTGCAATCTAGTGATATACAAAGAAAAAAAAAATGGATAAAAAGGCTGCGTGCTACTTGATTCAATGCTAACGGTAGAACGGCAGTCAATGCGATGTGAAATATAGTGAGGTCTAAGCATAGACAGTTACGCAAGGTAAGATGATGGAATCATTAGTGAAGTATAATCAAGTGAGTGATATTACAAGGTGAAGCAAGAGGAGCAAGGGCTAGACTTACTGATGCAAATCATGAAGAGGAGAACACCCCTCGCAAGAGCCCCGTTGAGATTTAGCTTTAGAACATCATATATTTGAGTTACTTGACAGTTGGGCATATAGTGCACTCAACTCTTTTTAAAAGCTGATTATTTTTACCTGTGTGTCGGAAAAAGATCATAGACAAAGAGGACCAAGTGTTCAGGCTCCGATTCACGCGCTGCAGCAGCAGCCCACAGAGTCGGGCTGTGGTTTATTACAAATAAACCCCTTGTTGTTCATCAATGGGAGGCTCAATTTTTTACAAGTGGTGCCGAAAACCATCGGAACAACGAACCACGTCGATAAACCTAAGGTAATCGTCTTCCCACTTGCGGATCCGACCGAACAACTTGCAGCTGCTCAAGGCGTAGGCGCAACATGGAAGCTCTCAAACTGAAGTGCAAATCTGAGAGAGCTCAATTAACACACATTATCAATGAGGCAGAGGCAACGCTCACTCAAGAAAGTGTCACGGAAGAGGAGCTTTGCATTCTCAACCAACTGCGCACCAACTTGAAGGCCACTGACTTCGACATCGTCCTTCTGCTATCAACCACAGAAGCGGAAACAGAGTTTGACTGGGTTGTGGAATAGAACGATCGAGCCACAACAACATCAGCAAAGCTGAAGTATAGGCTACGCCAACTTCAAAATTCCCAGAATCGTGCACTACCACCGGCAGCACCTACTGAACTCGTGTCACGCACGCTCCAGTGCGCCATCCAACTTCCGAAAATCGACCTCATTAAGTTTGATGGCCAACCTTCAATATGGACGCCTTTTTGGGAACAGTTCAGTCGACTGATCCACAACAACGGTTGGCACACAGACGTAGACCGCTCCGTCTATCTACGTTCGGTTCTGACCAGTGACTCGACAGTGGCTATTGCCAGACTTTCAGCAACGGCAAGCTGCTATTCAGAAGCTATTGACATTTTAAAACAACGCTTTGCCAGGACCGATATCATCATTCAGGCTCACATGCAGCGACTCATTGACATGCGACCCGTGTTGTCCTCCAACAGTCTTCGAGGACTTCGATGCCTTTATGACACACTCCAAACCCAGATGCGTGCCCTCAAGACTCTCGGAGTATCAGAAGACCATTACTCTGCGATGTTCTACTGTGTCCTGCTGAAGTTGCTGTCTCATGACATCATCCTCGATCTCAACAAAACCATCGCACGCCAATGTACAGAGGACACAGGCCAGGGACAGCACGCCCAGGAACAGAAGGCAAGAATCCAGTCTTTACTGCTTTTAATTCAAACAGAAATAGTGGCTCAAGAGCAAACGGCCCTGCACGTTTCTGTAAGAGAGGACGCGTTGAACAGCCAAGTTAAAGATTCTCGCACTAGTGTGGCATCATTGCGACATCGATCAACCATGCGAAGTGTTTAACTTCAGCCGTAAAACTAGTAGGCCAGCATTCACTATGCAATCCTTCCTCATTCTTTGGAGAAGCATGCATGCCCTACACACTTGTTAGGAACTATGTGCAATTTTTTATGCAGTGGCTGACGAAGATGAAGAATTATGCCTGGAGTGAGTATGCGCCACAGCTAATAGGTGATAAAGAACAAGTTTTCTAATAGAGTTGGAGCATTGAACAACCCACTCGTTATTTTGCATTGTGTGGGGCCTGGCTGTTTGTTCCCTTGATGTTCTAAAACGCTTTAATACTCATATTAACGCGATTGCTTTCCTGACATCAAGCCTGTCTAAGGCCAGTTCAAAAACAAGTTTCAAGCTCTGACATGGCTCAGTGGTAGAATACCGAGCTGGCACCGAACGAAGCAGAGTTCGAATCCCATTGTGTCATTTGTCTTTTTTATTTACTGATTTTTTCTTTCGGTACTAGTTATGAACATTGGCGGCGGCGGACAACTTCTGCGCCACGCGTTACCCATGTTCTGATCTCATAACAGCTTTCACTGTGATACAAACCATAAAAAAAAGAAAATGGCCACCATGGTCTGGTTTGTCCCCCCCCCCCCCCCCCCCTCGGTTATTCTTCTAGATTCACGCCCCTAGCTTGACTAGATTTAATTTATGCTATACTGTGCAAATAACTTAATTTATCATGATAAGATCCCACACACATGAGTATTCAAGATTAGAATGTATTAATGTTCTGTACATTTGTAATTCAAGTACTGATGGTGACTTCGGAAAGTTACTTAAAGGGATAGAAGCTTGAAGGGATAATCTATCACTCGAAAAAATTTTTCTGATTGGGGCGTGACTGGGTGTGACTGAGAAGATCATTCATCACAACGGTGGCAATGAGCATGCTTTTGTTTCATAAAAAAGGAAATATAATTTTAACTTGATGCTGAAAGTCTACAAAAAATTACCACTGGCGTCATCCAAAAGTTATGTGGTGCAATCTACTGGTATCCTCGCAGGTAGGCTTCTTCTGCTTAAAACAAACATGTGTTACTTGAAATTCTATTTTATGCACTTAAGACAGTTTTAGGATGCTCCAGAGACTGACTAAATTTTTGCGTTTCTTTTTCTCGCACATTCAAATAGGCGCCCAGTGGAGCTGCCAGCTGTGCGTTCCCTTGTTTGCATGCCTGCCTGCAAATGGCGGAGGAACGCGTGCGCGGTGTCTGCCACTGCTGATAATGACAACAAAAAGTCATTGTGTGCCCTAAACGACCACTAAGGTATGTTTTATTAATCAACAAAGCTCGATAAAGCCTGCAAGAACCACACGCGGCTTCAGTTTTCGACTTTCACCAGCAGTAGAATTGTCATCGCCTCCACCGACCAGTGTTTTGGACATTCATCCGACCCATGGAAAGAGACCGAACACAGATAGAAAAATTCTGTTTGAAAAATTTCTCCACACTTTCCAGAGAAACCGCTGCAAGGTTGGACACTTCAGATGGTGCGCCTTTTATTGTGCCACAAAACAAGAAAGCAGTGAAGGACGGTAGACAGACCCTTTGAAGGTACACCAAAGAGCAAAATCATTTATCTCATATCAGTAAATTACTTTATCACCCTACCAAATAACATCACATTTACAACGAGAACATGATCAGTAAGCAAGAAAATGTGCCACAAGAAAAAGTGGATGGCGACATCATTTTGCCACATCTGCACCACTAGTAAATTTTGACGCTGTCTGTATAGGGCGCATGTAGTTCAGAATCGATCGAAATTAAGAACACATTATCTCCCCAGGGAGCCAGAGATTGAACAAAGCTTCAAGAAATTTCATTGAGCCAGTGTGGCCGAAATATGAAAGAAGACTTTAAAATCAGAAGCGTCCCCATCGAAGATTTCAGTGGGAAATAAGTTAAACTTTTCTTGACGATTTTTGTATTTATCATATAACTTATGGTGGTGAAGTGAACTAGAATAGAGTTGTATAAATTACCAGTCTAAACTAATTTATTGTTTCACTTTAGTGCCCTTTCAGCATACGAATGCATTATTAAAAATGTACTGAATCTGAAGTGCCCAGGATAGGTTAGACGTGCCACAAGTGCCCGGGTGCTTATGAGAAATAACTGAATCTAAAAAGATGTTTTAAGGTAGTATGTTAGGAGGCTGCTGGCACTTCTAGTAGCAAACACTGCTTTACACTAAATATATAAATGCATCCACCACAAGCAGCACCCAAGCGACAGTACTATTTAGATCAGATTGGAGGATGAGTGTCATTATTATTGAATAAAAGAATGGGAATGAATCAAAGACTTGTTTTCTTTGTTAGACACTATCTAATAAAACCAATAAATTACAAAACCAAGGAAAGTATAGGGGACATTATTTGTAGTCCTTGAACTGTAGCGTAGTAATTTTGATATACACTCAAACCTCTGTATAACATGTAGCATAGTAATTTTGATATACACTCAAACCTTTGTATAACAAACTTAAATATGACGAAATTCTGGATAAAATAAAGTATCTGATTATTCAAAACTTTATGTCCGTAAAACCAATTCCTGTTAGAAGCTCAATATATTAAAGTGCATTTACCCATGATTTCAATAGGATTATGTTTTAGTGCAGGTGCAAAGGAAGGCAGAGCATAATAAATAGAAGCTAAAATATTTCAAAAATCTTTTTTTTTTTTTCACATTTCTGAAGTTATTTTGTACTGCTCTATCATTCAAACAATTTTGCGGCCCTTCCCAACCAAAAAAGAAAAAAAAAAGGCTTTTGTGATTACACTTGGCTAAGAAAGATCAAATTTTGACATAATGAAGTACACTGAAGTTTTCATAATACAAACCTTTGATTAATTTAAACAAATCTTTTTTTTTTTTTGTTGGCCTGCTATGCTTTAAATGCATTTTGAAGGACTTGGTCGAAATCGCCCCTCTGCACAAATTCAGTTTATCCAAACTTTTGCTTGTCCACGCCTGGAAATATCTGCCACCTTTGATTTGAGCCTTCTAGCTGAAGATTCACACTTTTATGTAACCAACAGTCACAAATAAAGCCGACTACCTGCCTGCAAAATGGCCGATCTCAACAGATCGCACAAACTAACTTAGGCACAAAACGGAACAAGACGGTTTTGCCTGGCCTCGATCGATCGCATGCCGAACGCTTCCTTAGGT